ACTTTAAAAAGTTGGTGTCTTGCTTTACTGGTTGGTTGTGAGAAGTTTGCACAAATCTCTGCCGGCTCTCCTCTTTCAAGACGTATTCCAGTTTTTCTGATTTATTTTTTTATCTTTTATTTCTCTGCTGTAGAAACTCAGGGGAGATGCTGCACATTTTCTTACAGAATATGTTTCTGATTGAACCATACACGGAGGAATTGCAGCTCTGTCCAGCACTCTGAGGTCACACTGAGAGCACAGCCTTTGGCGGTCAGTTTTGATGGCCAGGCTGTGCTTGCTGAGTCCATACATCTCTCTCCCACTCGCTCTCTCTTTCCCTCTGCCTCCCCCACTTTCAGTGCTTATTTTTTGCTATAACCAACCTTCTGGCAGCAATGCTGATAAACCCAACTTGATTATCATTTAATGCCACTGTGGCTTCATGGTCACCGTTTAGATGCTCAAATCTTTGTTGGAGTCACAGTAAAGCAGAATAAAGCATTTCTTCGGCTCTAATGTTGAGAGCTTTTTACGTGAGAAAGTTTGCTGATTCTCCTCCTTCAGTTCTTTCTCTCTCTCCTCTGTTGTTGCAGTCCAGAAGCAGCACTTTATTTGTGCTGAAAGTCCTTTGCTGGAGCGCTGTGTTGACAGAGCTTTGAAACGGCACACAGCTCAACAAGGTTATGAGAGAGCTTTCGAGGAGCGCCGTGTGCTGTTTGCTCGCTCTAATGTGGTAAATTCCCCTCTTTTTTGTGTGGAGTGTTCTCAGGTTGGGTCAATAGGACTGTTTTTCTACACTGTTAGTGCCTAAAGCGGCCATTAAAACCCAGACACTCCTCTTGTTCTGATAAAATTCGTGTGGGTTTCATGAGCTATGGATAAAATACATTGGTATACAGTGTAGCCACACTTCAGCTTCTCACTGTTGAAACTAAATACTTTGTTCCTCAGTTTTATCATAAATTTTGAGTAATGTTCAATGGTTACTTGGAAAAAAGTGGAATTATAACTCCTAAAGGGGTATTTCGGCATTTTTTCATCTGTGTTGTACCTTTGATTAACACAAACAGTGCTTTCAACATTTCCCTGCACTTAGAAATGGAACAGAAAACTCACTGAAACTCCCTTGTAATAGAACCCATTGGGCAGCTGCTGAATTCCCTGATGTTCAGGCATAACATTATGACCACCTCCTTGTTTCTGCACTCATTGTCCATTTTATCAGCTCCACTTACTATATAGGAGCACTTTGTAGTTCTACAGTTACAGACTGTAGTCCATCTGTTTCTCTGCATACATTGTTAGGCCCCTTTTACCCTGTTCTTAAGTGGTCAGGACCCCCATGGACCCTCACAGAGCAGGTACTATTTGGGTGGTGGATCATTCTCCTAGTCCACCAACCAAAAATATCCAGCCATTAGCGTCCTGTGACCACTGATGAAGGACTAGAGGATGACCAACACAAACTGTGCAGCAGCAGATGAGCCATCGTCTCTGACTTTACATCTACAAGGTGGACTAACAAGGTAGGAGTGGTCAGTGAGTGGACACAGTGTTTAAAAACTCCAGCAGCACTGCTGTTTCTGATCCACTCGTACCAGCACAACACACACTAACACACCACCACATCAGTGTTACTGCAGTACTGAGAATGATCCACCACCCAAATAGTACCTGCTCTGTGAGGGTCCATGGGGGTCCTGACCACTGAAGAACAGGGTAAAAGGGGGCTAACAAAGTATCAGAGAAACAGATGGACTACAGTCTGTAACTGTAGAACTACAAAGTGCTCCTATATAGTAAGTGGAGCTGATAAAATGGACAATGAGCGCAGAAACAAGGAGGTGGTCATAATGTTATGCCTCATCCTACTATTAAAGTGCACTCTAACAGTGTCTTACCAAAGCTGTTTTTAAGAAACTTTATCAAACTTTCAAACACGAAAGCAGCACAGTTTAAAAGCAGTTTTGGCTACTTTCACTCTTAAGGTTTTCTAGTATCCATGATGAACAGGCGGAGCTGGTGAAAACCCCACCCACACCACAAATTCTTCCCCCTGAAGAATCCCTGTGTCACACCTCCCGCCGGCTCAGCAGAGACTAACACCCCTCACTCAGTCCACCTCCACCTCCCAGAATCCTCTCAGGGAATCACATGACCACAGACTTTCAGCCATCTACCTATCCACACTTTAGTTCACCTGGTTATTGATTGTTGTCACCTGTTCATGTTCCCATATAACCTGTTTGCTTCCTCTGCCTCCTTGCAAAGTATTGTATCAGTCTCCTGTACATTACTGAGCCTTTATTTCCAGTGTTTTGTTTTCTCGCTCATTTTTCTTGTTTATGATTCTAGCCTGACCCCTTTTTTGACTCTGTTTGCCTCTCTCCTGTTGTGACATTTTGCTCGTGTCTTACACTCTCACTTAGCTTACCCCCGTAGTATTGCCCCGTTTGCCTGTGTATGAACCCTCGCCTGTTCTTGTGCTTCATTTCTTGATTACCTTTTATTGAACATTTTAACCACATCTGACTCCTACAAGGCCATCACACAATGCAAGCGTTTCACAAAAACGTATCACTGACGTCAGCGTTCATTCAATTTCCAATCACAACATATCTACAAGTTTCAGATTGAGGCTGAGTCGGCTTCTCACAGTGGAAGGATGGACAGAAACACCTGTGGATGTTTTCAGATCTGAAGCAGCTTGATTTTCTCCTCTCTCTCAGAGATGAAAGCTTTGTGCTGTTTATCTGATGGGGGCAGATTTGGTGTCTACCAGGCCTTCCAGGTGGTTGTTAGGAGTCTCATTTTTCTCTGTAACTGTTTATCATTTTTGAACTCCAGTATTGGAAACCCCAGTTTTGTTCTTTTGACTTCTACCTTACGCGAGTGGGTTATCTTACATCTAATCTCCTCAGAAATATCACCTGAAAAATGAATAACTTGCACTTGAAGGCCGTTTTGACTGGAAATGAGTGGTCCTTGAATGTTCCCATGTGTCAACCCTTCGTTCTTTATTCAGTTGATATCAGAGACACATGAAAAATGGTGGGCAAAGAGTTTACAGTTGCTAAACTTGCTACAGCAGTTTTGGAAATAGCGATAAAGATAGCAGAGCATATATAGGTTTCATGTTATATGTAAAAGCCTTAAAAAGCAAATTTGAGAAGATATGCAAAATTTGAGGAAATCTGGCGACCCCGAGGGTTACATGAATGAAGGATGTTCTCTGACTTTTACACAGTATCGTACATGCTTAGCACAATCGTTTACTGACAGAATCCAGCAGTTGCCCAATGGCTTCTGTTATAAGTGAGTTTTAAGCCTCAGGGTGTTCTGTTTTGCTCTAAGTATGAGGAAACTATCACATGGTATTAGACCATGTGCAGATGTGGTAATAAACAGATTTGGCTGAAAAACGCTGCGATACTCCTTTAAGGTTAATAACTGAAAAATAAACCTTCATTTTCATGCTAGACACTGTCATCTTTCTCTTTGTTTTTCAGCTTTAAGAGTTTATCGATTTGCCCTGATTTCAGAACAACTTCATCAAATATAGTGCCATATGGGTTTATGTGATTTAAGCAGAATGCCATATTGCAAACATCAATGGAGAAAAAAAGAAAAGGAAAAAGCCCTGAAACTCATAATTATCCGAGAGGGCAGCAGCTGTTGCCTGCTTAGTATCAGATATTGGATATTAGCGATAGCGGTGGCCGACAGGACAGCAGATAGAGCTCCGAGATAGCATCTGAGCGAATGATTTAGCACTCGCTCTCTCTCCACAGCCGTTCCTGCCTTTTTACAGGAGACGCTGGGCCCGAGCCAAACCCCTATCGGCTCCATCTCCATACTCATTAATGACGCCTTCTGTGCTCCAGTGGGCAGGGGAAAGGGGGGTGAGGGAGGGGGAGCTGGATTAGAACAAAGCCCACACATTAGACTGGGCTGAGTGGGAAGAGGAGAGACACTCGATTCAGAGAGCTTCGTTGGCAAGGCTCGTTGTGTAACGGTACTGCCAGAACTGTCAAATGTGGACAGTAGTCATGGACGTATCAGCACTGGAGAACAATAACGGCAATCATAACAGTGCAGATGGTCATCACTGGCCACACAATTACTGTTTTTGTCTCATCTTTTTGTCAGCTGTTGGATCAGGAACAGAAAGTTAAAAGGGTTGACCTATCCAAGCTCCGCCCACAAATTTTTCTGACTCATCTAATGGAATGGCTGATGTTGTTTGGTAGCTAGCAAGTGCTGGATGTCAGGCTGAAGAGCTCAAATTGTCCATCTTCAAAGCTTAATTAGACGAGATTTCTGAGTGTACGACACAGAGCGGTAGCTGCTCGTTTTTATTTTAATGCACAGGAAGCCTAGCGCTCGGTAATCACTGCTGTATGTTCTTCATTTTGGTGGCAGCTTCACTTATAGATGGACCAGCCTTCAGAGATTTCCTGTTCAAAGACCCTGTTTGGATGAGCTTCGTAAGATGAAAAAGGGAATAGTGACTCCAATTATTCCAATTATATATAACTATTGACTGAAAATATAATCATAGCTACCAATCAGTGTATATATGTAATGTATATATCGCTGTTGTCAGAACAAAACCTCGTATCTCCAAATTGATAACTTCACAGGAGAAGGAAAAAACCTACTGTACTTTTAATGTAAGTCACTGGAACCAGAATTTTGGACCATTTTGTTTGGTGCGTTCATCATGAAATTTATTTACAATGTAAAAGCCAACAGGTATTTTCAAATTATGTCCAAAACTGAAAAACATCAAAAATGGGGATACAAGGTTTTGTTCCGACAACACACACACACACACACACACACATACATATATATATATATATAATTAATTATATATAGTATAAATATATATAGTAATTACAGGGACTTCAGCGCAAAATGGTTGCGCTATTCTTAGGTTATAGAAGTGTGTAATAAAACTTTGGGCCACCGGTGGGCCCTGGCCATTTAAGGGGTTAAGAACTAATGGCCCCTAGCAGGACCAGCACAGCCCACTGGGGGGCCATTTTGATGACTTTATCCCCATCATACTTGCTACGTATATCAGCATTATGGCAAAAGCAGAAGGCTAAACAGTCAAGATACTTGATGAAAGTGACATGTCCAGCCTTGCAACTGCTGTTGTGAAAGAATCCATTTGTGGGCGGAGCTTTAGGTATGTGAAACTTGTTTGCCTGGCCTTGATGTATAGAATACCCATGACAGCTGCACTCGTAGCAAACTGATCATGGTTAAAAGGGTCGAGGTTATACTTCTTTAGAAAATTACCAATAACTGCCCTGTTAGTAACAGTCACAGGAGCTCCATTTATACCAGTGGTCATCAAATCTGTTCCAACAGATACACCTTCCTCCGGACTTTAGCATCAACCCTATTTGACAGCACCTGGTCCGTCTAACTATTGCCTTTCAAAATCCTGAAAGAGGTATGTTAGATTGGGTTGGATGTGAAAGTTACAGGTGGGTAGATGTCCAGGAGGAGGGTTGGTGACCACTGATTTATACCACTATTAAATTATAATCTCTTCATTTTGCAAATTCTGCTTCGGTTACAGTATTTGGAAAAAAGTGCTAGAGTACAGATGGGCAGCTCATGGACGTCCGTACACTGCCACACAGAATGGTCTAGTGCTTTCCCTGTTCTGCAAATTCACACTGAGGCAAGCCCAAGCAAGAGGATTACAAAGAGTGGCTAAATCAATGCCAGTGGAGCTTGCTGTGTTAAAGCTGGTCAGCATCCTTGGCCTGTCTGTGCAGCTGAAGTGTTTATGGTGTTGTCCATGATCCTGCAACAAAGATCGATATTGGACAGTGCAATTTGTGAGTAACTGAACAGGGATACAGTTTTGGTTGTTTTGGCACAGCAGAGCATTAGATTTGAAATGTAACTATGGATATCAGACTAAAGTGCATAATGTCATAATTCAAGATTATATAACTATATTAGGTGAATCACAACCTTTTTATGTACCCAGTCCTCCCTTTTCGGTGGATCATTGGACAAATAAACCTCATCTTAGAAAAATGGTCATGGTTAGTACTCAGTGACAATCTGAAGTGCTGTCCCATAGAAATCACCAGGCACTGCTCTGGTGTTGCTCTGTCAGGCCTCTAATGCAGCCATTTTCATTTTCTGCTTGTTTATTGGGCTTATTGTGTTCAATCTTGTCTTCAGGAAGTGAAGTGCTGCCAGTGTGGTTCAGGTTGGGTAATTGATCTTGGCCAGTCAAAAAGAGTCCAGTTTTTGGCCCTGAAAAATACTTTGCTCCTTTTTTGGTTATTTTCTTTGGCAAAATAATCCTTTAAAATCCACTGCCATTAGCAGTTACATCACAAATGAAGACAAGTGAACAGTTCTGCCGGTAGCTGTACAGGCCCACGTCTCCATCATGATGCTACCTCCGCCATGTTTCACATATGATTACAATTTTTATCTCCATACTTACTTCATTCCTGTACTCTGGTGCAGGTTCCTCTTCATGTCTTGTGAACATTAGCCTTTGTCCCAAGTCTGTTTACATGGCTGTTCTTTTCTTGAGCTTACCTTTTGTGTATTTTTTAGATTTTTGACTAATTCTCTTCCCAGTGTAGTTATTGCCAGTTGCAAATGCCTGCTAGGTGCTCCTCAGCTTCATGCTACCAAGTCGGGAGGGTAAAGGCTTATATGTGCACTAAAGCAAATTCATTGGACAGTTCAATGCGGTTAGAGGAGAATGCTAACTGCCAACTGTGTTACCTCAACTAACAGGTGACTTTGATAACTTTGGCATCACCAGGGATCGAACTTGTGATCTCCCAGCAATGGGGCCGACACTTAAAAGAGTTGTGCCACTCACCCAGTTCTAGATCTTTTGTTAGCTCTCTTGTGCACAAACAGAATACAACTGGCCAAGAAACAACTGAGCAGCTAAACACCTGATTACATACAGTGCCTTGAACTGTGTACTATATGAAACAGCCAATGTAGCTGTAAATACCTTGAATGAAAACTGAGAATCTGCACTACAACCTCAGGCAAGTCATTGCTTCATTTCAAATCCAGTGTACTGGACTACATAGCTAAAAACACACGTCTTATGTCACTCTACACATGCATACAGATTGCTCTAGGTCTTCCTACATATGGGTGAGAATCAAGCCCCCTGATCCGCCGTACTCCCTTGGGGTTAGTCCACATTCCCGTCTGTCAGATGTAATAAAGTATACTTGTTTACATAAAGATATGAAACTATGACCTCGCCTCTGAAAGCCACGGGGACAGCAGCAGAAAAAGAAGTTTGCATGCTGGTTACCGTGGCAACCGTGCATCTTATTTTAAGCCCTTTTGAAAGCCTGGCCTACGAGCTCGTCCTTGAAGGTTACGTAAGCGAATTACTCATAAAGGGCTTTCCTATGGCAAGACGCTACACTGCCTTACATCCAGCGGGGGGTTTTGAGGCCACCGAAATGCAAACACATTATGTGGACCCCCCCACCCCACCTCCACCACTGCTGCCCACTCTTTGTGCATTTGAGTGGGCACGAACCTGATTCACAAAACATCTCTCACCCACGGTACAGTAAAATGATTCGTCACGTGTCGATTCGTCCACCTACACCATTCGAAATGTGCATAAAAGCGTTAAAAATGTCCGAATTAGCCGTTTTGTTCTTAGACCCAAGAATAAATCAAATATTAAGTTCTGTAAAAACGCCTGGAGACATTTGAGCTGCTCATAATACTTGTCTAAACTATCCTAATTTCTTCGAGATACAGAAAATACATCCAGGGCAGTTTAAATGAGAGAGAGAGAGAGAGAGAGAGAGAGAGAGAGAGAGAGAGAGATAGAAAGAAGAGAGAGAGAGAGAGAGAGAGAGAGAGAGAGAGAGAGAGAGAGTGAGTATGCCTTTGTGAATTACGGCCTAAAACGTGTCTCTGCCTCCTCTTATCTCTGTAGTCCATAAGCCCCCTCTCCACGTTCTCTAAACCGTGTTAACCCGCAGATCCGCTTTCCGTTTCCTCTCTGCCGTGCCGCGGCTTCCGTCTTTAGCCGTGCTGCAGCAGCCGTTGGAGAGAAGAAGCCGGAACGGAATGACTCGCTTCGTTGCGACGCTGCTAATTCACTCCTTTATGCGATAAGCACTTGAACGCTAGCCCGGTGCGCTTATCGAACCAGCGTAATCTCACTGCGGAGAGAAAGAGCGCCCTTGCTCTGCTGATGCGACTTTCTCCAATGAAGTGAGATTAATTTAAAAAGAAAAAGAATAGGGCTGCTGTGACAGGCGTTTCTGCAAGGGATTGGCTGTTAAGAGCGGAGCGTTAGCGTCGATAACAACGCCTCCATCTTGCTGGGTCTTTTTTTTCCACCCTGTGGAAATAGCCTAGCACTGCTGCCCTCATTTCAGTGACTTTTTGCATAATCACCTAAGTAATTATTCCATTCACCTCTCCATGCTCTGCCCACAAAAGCTCTGTTTTGTAGCTACTGTTGCTAAGTTGGACGAGTTTTGGAGAACGCTGGCTGATGTTCTGTTTGTCCTATTTGATGTCCACCCCTCCAACCCCAATCGTAGTCCTTTGTGTGCAAGAATAAATAATAAAAAAAAAGCAAGAATGAATAATTCATATGAAGAAAGAAACAATGTAAGATGTCTGGTCTCTGGAATGTAACATGACATTCCAGCTATAACAGTCTCCGCTCTTCTGGAAAAGGGTTTCCACAAGATTTTGGAGTGTGTCTGGGGGACTTTGTGCCCCTTCAGTCAAAAGAGCATTTGTGAGGTCGGGCACTGATATTGGACGAGAAGGCCTGACGTTCCGGTTCATCCAAAAGATGTTCAGTGGGGTTGAGATCAGGGCTCTGTGCAGACCACTGGAGTTCTTTTACATTATATTTGTCAAACCATCTCTTTATGGAGCTCTCTTTTTGCATGGGGGCACAGTCATGCTGGAACAGGAAAGAGCCTTTTCCAAACTTATCACCTTTATTTCACATACATTTGCATTTATTTAAATGAAGTAATTGTGGTAAAATACTGTATGTCAGAAAAACTAGTTGAACTAATGAAACAATATTCCTAGGAAATTCACTGTAATTTGACTGTAATTTTACAGATTTTGGCCATCATTGAGAAAATATACTTTTACTATGATGACTACAATATGCTGATAACAATTTACAGGCTCTGGAAGTAAACAGATGTGTTGTTTGGAAAGGGGATATGTGCCACATTACATCATACTAGTCCAGGGGTCGGCAACATGCGGCTCCGGAGCAAACATCAATAATTTGGAGATGAATGGACTTATTTGCATTTATAAGCACTCAAGCTGGTTTCCTGATGCGTTTAATCTTCAACGAAAAACTGCCAAACACTAAAAAGTCACAAAGCTGAAGTCATTTTCCCATTCCACCTTAAATAGTGCTCCAGTTACATTCTGGCGTCTCGGGCACCATTTAAATGCAATGTGAAAATACGAACAAGAAGCTGGCAAATGAGAAGCTGACTTCAGCCTCATACAATATCAAACATTTTACAAGAAGTTTTTCTACTTTTGAGGAAAAGTTTCCTGCCAGAGATGCGAGAAAAGCAGCTATAACTGAGCTAAAGCTTAAAGTAGAGCAAAGTAAGTCTGAGTGTTCGTTATATAATATTACATTTGTTAGCCTATACTAGTACATTAGCACATATTTACAGCCAAGATGGTAAAAAGGACATAAAATGTTGTGGCTCCCAAGGTGGTTTGATTTTTGTTGAAAGGACAAAACGGCTCTTCTTAACATTTGGGTTGCCGACCCCTGCACTAGTCCATTATTGGCTCAGGAACCTTAAATGACCTCTTATACTGCGTATAACTAGAAACAGCCCAGTATGGCAGAAATCCAGTTCAACCTAACGAGAAACTGTAGCTTTATTGGTCTTATTGAATCTCCTATCCAGTTATTCAGCAAGTTAAACACCCCCTTAGAATAACTCATATGGGCTTAGGGACCATGATGACTGTTTTAC